AATGGTGGAAGAAAATATTGATAATTGTTGGAAGTACCCTAATCAGTATCTCTTTCCTTCCATGTTGAATTCCCTACTTAATTCAGACCATCACAAAAATTGTGCAAAACTCACTGAAACTAAGTTCGGAGAAAGAACTGAGTAAAGGAGAAATTGCAAAGATTCATCTGATAAAGACTGCAAATCCAGAAGAAGACCAAAGACCAGAGACTGCAGAAAAACTCTACAAGAAGTACCAGAAACTTCAAAAATTCTATCAAGTTTATGAAGAGACTGTTTAATAAGAAATTATTTATGCGGGCTGAAGCCAAATCAAAGTTTTAGAGGGTGGAGTTGTTATAAGTAAACCAATAGTTGTAACAAGTTGATTAGTTGTTAACAGTGGGTTATAAGTTAACTGTTATTTAATATAATATATGTTTCTAGTTAGTGGTTAAGTATTTGTTAGGGAGTTCTCAAGGTTCTCAAGGTTCTATAGGGGCAATGGGTGAGTTCTGGTGGTCAGTGTGGGTGCAGTCAGGTGGAGTTGGGGGTGGCTTAGGGCTGACGGGGTGTTCTTTGGCAGAGAACGCTCCTAGGAGTGACATCTGTATCATAGACAACCTTTGGTGGAAGAGGCGACCAATCACTCGATGCCCTGGAGGAATGATTGGTCTGGAGTGCACCTTGTTAAGGACCAATGAGAGCCCTAGAAATGGGCCAAGCTGAGAGGGGATCCTAAACAGACCAATCCTGGACAGAGGGGATTTATAAAGGTGGCGGTGGGACTTCACTTGGGGTCCTCCTGCGGAGTTTGATCCAAAGGAGAGCATTTGGTATTGCTGCAGTGGAGCTCGGGCTTATCCTGGGCTCCCACCTCTGTTGGTGTTTTTTTTTCTTTGATTAATAAAGGGTTTGACTTTTATTTCACCTGGAAAAGTCCAAGCCCGTTTATAGCAGATGGAGACCTCTAATGTATGAAGTTAAAGCATAGAGAGAAGGCTTTTCCCCATATAAGAATAGAAGGAAAAAATATTTTCCCATAGTTCTTTGCACCACCATTTCACTATACCCCAGTTATATGTACCCAGTTGGCCTGTGGGCCATCCCTCCCCTTTTTACCTTCTATGTCCTTCCCCTTGAATGTTCTCCCTTCCCTGTTTCCCCATTGGCCCCAGTTTGCTGCAATCCTCCACTCCTGTTATCCCATTGACTCTCCCTCTCCCTGACCCCTCCTATGCACCACTTTTCCCTGTTCTTATTGGACTCTGATGCTCGGATCGACCCCCTCAAACCCATTTGTAACCCTGGACCCTCCATTGTTCCCTGCCTTTGTTCCTGGACACCTTCAGTGTGTGGCTGTAATAAACCCCACTGGAACTCCATACAAAGACCCTTCCTGGCTCTCCACTGTTGCTCTGCTATCCATGGCATGCTTGTGAGTGTGTGTGTGTGAGTGTGATTGCAGCCTGCCCAGATGCCTTCATCCTTGGAGGCACTTTTGGGAAGGTAGCATCATCTTACCATCACACTCAACACCACAGTACACAGGGAGCAGTAAGAGGTGCTGGGGTAGCTCACTTTGGGAATCAGCAAGTGGCGGAAGACAGGAACTAGAGGGCAAGAGCAGGTTGGCCCACGTGTTCACCACCGAGATTATATAGCTCTGCTGCGGGCAGCAACCCGTAACCGTAAACATGATAAGGTGTGGCCAAAAAGTCATACCAAACCTCTATCATTCCTCTATTGTTTTTTCCTTCCAAAATCCAATATGGGTAGCAGTCTCGTAAGTATGGTAGATGGGGGTAAAAAGTCACACCAGACCTCTGTGGTTCCCTTTTCTCTGCTCCAACCAATTCATGTCACCAATTCCACCAATCATTGTGCTTAAGGAAAACCTGAGGGTTTTTTCTGTTCCCATTGCCCTCACTCACATCAATAGATGCTACTATGACTCATACAAAATTAAATTTTGACTTGTAAAGTAAGAGTAGATCACTGAAATTGAAAATTAAAAATAATTGTTTGAGCCAAATGACTTATTAAAAAGGAAAAGGGGTTTTTGTCATAGATAGGTAATTGGCTCTCACAATTAAGGGATGAATATTACGTGTACTATAAGTACAATGTGTATGTTAAGAGAAGTTTCATAGATTTATAGTTATGTTGTTGTGGCATGTTCTCACCATAGTCCATTTTACCCACCCCCTTGTATTGTTGTCATTGGATGGCCTTAGTAGTCAGGCATTAGGGGAGGGCCAGTTCATTACTAGGCATCACCTACATAGCAACACCTGACCTCCAATCAAATTGTGAGACAGTAGTCTCCACCAATGGATGGAGAAGTTGTCTGACAAGCTTTGAGATGGGCCAAGGTTGGCTGATGTAATACCAGGAATATAAAAGACAATGCAAAGATTTTGTAGACACATGGCAGTTTAGTTCCATGTCCCCATCACTGCTCTTTCTCCTGATTCAGTCTTCTGTCGTATTTTGTTAAGGCTGAATAAAACTTCAAAATTTTAAAAGTGAGCATCTTGTCAGGCACAAAAGCAAACACTAAACAGCCATGTAAATGATGAGGAACTCAAGCCCTCTGCCAGTCTTACAGGGTTTTCCAGTCACCTGTAGCCATAGAAATGACCCCAATTCCCCTAAGAAATTCAAGAGGAAATCCCAGCCACATGCACCACTTACAAAAGACCCAAACCCCTGCATGTCTTACTGGAAAACACAACACCCTGCCTGTGCACCTCATGATGGACCCCAATCATCTGGCAGCCTTACAGGGGTCCCCCACCACCTGCATGCCACATAAAAGCCAGGTGTGGCATTAACTCTAGCCAGCAGCATGTTCCATGACAGAAACTCATTCTGATGCCCTTCTGGGAATTGGGAACATGAGTTGTGGGGCCAGCTTCATCTGCGGGAGGAATGGGGAGTGAGAGCCCGTGCTGTGTTCTGCTGCTGAGCTGGCAGCACGGTGGATACGGCCAGGACGTTCTCTGTTTCTTTCACAGCTGGGGCCTGCAGGCACCTTGCTGCCCCTTGGCACAGGCTGTGCCACCCAACAGAGCCCAGAAGGCTGGGAGCAGAGCCCAGGGACAGCGCAGCTGCTTGGGCAGTGGCTCCTTCCAGGGACACGAGTCAAACCCATCCCTGAGCAGCCACTGCCACCCCTGACCCTCCCTGCTCTGTGACAGCTCCCCCAGCCCAAGGGGACAGAGCCAGGCCCTGTCAGGAGCCAGTGCAGGCCCTGCCCAGTTGGGAGCCAGGGCTGGCTGTGGCCCTGGGCTCACAGCAGGGCTCCCACTTGGAGCTGCTCCTGTGCCTTGGGCCTCTGGATGCTCAGGGCCAGCTCTGGGAGCAGCTGCAGTGGGATGGACATTGGTGCACGAGTCCCGTTTCCCAGGGGCTGGGAATGAGCTCCAGAGGCCTGGAAGAAGAGACATATTCAGGTTGGGCTGCTGTCGAGCCCTGCAAGGAGAGGCCCTGTGGGAAGAGTTGCTTTCAGGTGATTTGGCAGTACAGCTCAGTCCAACTTCAACATCGTTTCCTTTTCCATGTCTGCATTTGCCTTGGTCACAACTGGAACCAGATTTTTGTCAGAGGGTCAGGGTTTGGTTTTTATTAAAGAAATAGTTTGTCTGAATGAGTGACATGAAACTCTGGGAGGAAATCTGAACCTCACAGCCCCTCACATCCCACCTTCATCAGCAGAAGCAAGTTCTTTGTTCTTTGTAGGGACAACATAATTGCTTTTCCTTTTCCCATCCCAGGGATCACACTGAATTTTCTTCTTTTACATCCAAGTCAAAAGCTCTGTGAACTTTGTGGGATTTTAAATCAAAAGTAATATGTAAGGATTTTAAGGCAGAGGGATGGAGCATTGAAAAGTTGATTTCTCTTTCCCCTTTCACGTCAAATTGCATTCTCCCTCTATTTTTTTGTTTTTGGAACAGCAGTGCAGGGCTGGGGCTGCTCTCTGGGAGCAGGATGCTGTGAAGGGGCAATAGCTGTAAGGGCAGTAGGCACCTGTCCTGCCCTGAGTCTCCAGAATTACTGCAACCCCATCAGTATGTCCACACCAGGGAAAACTAACCAGGCACCTATTTTTGATTTTTGCTGTGCTTAACTCCAAAGTTGCGTCTGCATTAAAATGATTTTAAAGACTGTAACACATCTGCAGTTTGAAGGGATAGTAAAGCCAGTGTTACACTCTGAGAAATAAATCCACAGTCTGAGTTGTTGATGTCATTTACTAATTTTCAGCTCATTGTGATGATGATATCATAGAACATTTACTTTTTTTCCTCCCCAAAATAAAATGGTGCCATTCGGCTTCTGGAGAAAAGAACTGTCAAAGGTGCTGTTTGGCAGTCATGGAGGGAGAGGTGGGGGAAAGAAAGGCATGTCCTGGAGGGATGCTCTGGTGAGTTCTAGCATTTAAACAAGCTTCTTTTGGTACATAGATGGGGATATTTTCAAGAGTAAATGGCTCCATGAAATGGTTTTCCAGGCCTTATGCTGGCCAGAAAGCTGTTAAAGCCCATCACAGTTTAGCCTCCATAAGAAAGTGGCGACAGTGCCTGTGTCAGATGAAACATATAATTCAAAAAGTAAACCTGTGTTTAGAGAAGCCAAAAGCCTGATGCAAACAAGGCCATAAAGCTTCTCTCCAGTCCTTCTGAGCGAGTGTGGCAGAGCTGTTGTGTTTACAGCAGTGCCATGGTACAGCAACAGCTGCAGGAGAGGGCTCAGGACAGCCTTGGAGTGGAGCAGGGCTGCAGGAAGCTGAGAGAAGCCCCTGCTCCAGAACTGAGGGACTTGTTCCAAAAGCAAAGACAGTGACTTTAAGAGCTTCCCACTGTGCTCCAGGTTTGCCTCAGAAGACTAAGAGGTG